GACGTTAAGGCTTCGGAATTGGTCCAAACGCGTTGTGCGAATTCAGGAGGGCAGGAAGGGGAGGACTGGGAGTCGGGATTGTGGCATCAGCGGTGCGCGCTGCCGCTGCAAACAGCTGCCTTACGTGGACCTGGCAGCTGGAATCTGCACAGCGGAGAGGAGGAACGGACACCCGAGGTGCGGTTTATCAGCTAGATGTGCAAGGGCAGCCTGGGAATTGGGTATGCGCAATAAAAATGTTGCATGTCAGCTCCTGCGCGAAAGCCTTTATGTCACAGGGATGGTGGAGCTTCTGTGTCCAATTCCAGTGGCTGCATACTAGCCACACAAGTGTTGCAAGACAAGCATTTTCACCAAGATGGGAGCTTTGCGTGTAAGTGGCCATGTATTCCAGCCCAGAGCCACCAGTTGGCACAGCAGCACCTGATTCAAATACGTTTACGAATTGTGTTTGTTCATTCACCACAGCAAAACGCCCTTTTGTGTATTCACTTTCGCCCCTACCTAATTGACCATACCCAGCGGGAGTACATACGATAGATATCTATATCCGACAATAAAAGCATACAGGGGGGGTCGGGCTAATATTCATATGTTCAGGGCCGTTTGGGAGAAGAGCCTTCCGTCGCGGATTCTCCGCCTGTCACTGCACTGTTGTAAATAGAACTGATTGAGTTTTATTGACAGCTGGACGCAATAAGAAGTGGTGAAGCAATACACTAGGTAAAAAATGGCCAAATGACACGTGTTCAATCGTGTACAAAGTCTAGGGGTTTGGGTTATTTTCGTGTTTTCACCATGCAGTACTCTGATGTTATGCATATATATGTGCTCGCAAAATGTGTTGTCTGGTGTTTTTTCTTGCTAGCGATAGGAATTGCGTTAAGAACATTGGTGCACGGACGGGATAAAAGGCGCAGAACTCCTGTTGACCCTTTGCGCCGCTGTAAACCGTTTTGCTGTGGACTCGAGCATACGGTCCTCGTTCGGGGGTAGCCCCCTCGAGGGTCGAGGCTCGACCCCGCCTGCTTCGTCAGCACCATCGAGTATGACGATCTAGGCCCCCTACTGTGGGGGGTCTACACCCGCTAGTGTGGGGCGTCTGCTGCCCATGTGCCCACGTTCAAATGTGTCGATCATCGCGCGCCCAAGGCGACATGGGCACACACCACCCCCCCGCACCCTTGGGAGGCGCGTGACGGTTTCGGACTCGAAGACCCCTCCGAAGGGCCCACGGGCCTCAACGACGGCGCCGCCGGAAAGCGTGCAACCCTCGGCAAAAACACACACACAAGTGCACACAGCCGCATAGGAGCTATCCAGGTATACCCTCCACGCACCGCTGCCTCTTCCCAACCCTTGTCGTTGATTGATGCCGACCGCCAATTTCTGCCTCCGTTTCGCGTCCATGCCGATCGACCCCGTGTTGGGAGTCTCCTCCGCGTTGGCCGCCTCGACTGCGCAACGGACAACACCGGTTTGAATCGCGTTTGAATCGCGGGGCTGCTGTCCGGAGTGCGGACAGCCAGCAGTGGCCGCAAGGCTTTTCGCGGCCCCCACTGCTAGAACGAAATGTTCTTTTCTTTGGAAATAGAGCTCTTATTCTTTTCCTTCCGATCTCCACCAAACGGAGGATGGCGATAGGGCCTTGGGCTGATGGGCGGCGGAAAGTGCGGCTTTGGGGCTGGCCGTCCGCCGGCCTCTCGCGCGAAATGCAGAGAGGCACTGACTTCGATTCACCAGATGGAAAGTGGGCGCAATACCTATCGCCCGAATCTGGCACCGGGCCTCCGCGCATGAGCACGCGAGCGACGGCAGTCACGGCCCGGGGCGGCTAATCTTTAGCTACCGGGCCCCTCTGGCCGGGCTCTCAACCGATGCTCGGAGGCGCATTGCACACGATATACCAATCCAAATGCCGACCGATGTTGCCGTGTTGCGCGACCCTAGCAACGGCCGCCACGCCTGGGCGCTGGGTGAGCGACGTCACGGGTCGGGACAGCTGAGTGCGACCTATCTGGCTCCAAGTTGAGGCCATGCATTTTCCTCCCTCTGGATGGATCGCCCGTTTGCGAGAGGGCGACGCGCCGGCGACGCGGGAAGCCATGTGCGCCGCGGCTGCCCTACCGAATATGCGAAATCACACAGCAGCCTGCCGGCCATTGGCCTCCCTGGTGGTACCCCTTGCGGAATCGCCCGCCACACCAAACCCGACGAATGAACGTCTCGCCATTGGGCGGCGCGGGTGAATGGATCCCCGAATTCGGTGAGCCCGACGCCGGCTGCCCGAACGGAAGAATATGATGTCGATGGCGGGCCCGGGACGGGAAGACCGGCGACTGACGACCGGGGCGCGGGCTTTGAGCCTCTGGGGTGGGCACCACCAATTCTTCCCGGCTCGATCGTCTGAATCCGTGGATGGTAGCCTCGCGAGTGTGTGCGCCCTTCCGGCGGCTGTCCGTGCTGCGGAGACTTCAAGGTTCGCCCGCAAACGGGGGGCGGGGGGGGGAGAGGGGTAGAGGTGTGTGTCAGGTTTCACTGTGCCGTGACCCTCGGTCGGCTCAGTCTGTCTTGGCGCGCTGTGTCGCTGTGTGTGGTGACAACACGGATCCGCGCTCGTCCGCATGCACACTTGGCGCAATCCCCGGAAATCACCGCTGGCGTGGCGTTAGTGGCCACGCGAGGGGCCCGCGGACGCCGGTGGCCGGACCCGCGCCCGCTGATGCCCGTACCATGGGAGTGGCTGCACTCCTATGTAGTTCCGGTGTATAGTTCCGTATACTACCGTATACGGAACTATACATAGTTCCGGCGGTGCGCGGGGTGGGCCTGATTTGGTGACTGTGCTCGTTGCGTTGCGCTGAAGAACATAAGAGTCCCTCTGCCTTTTCCGTGGCGATTTCTTCTTCTTCGGCTGACAAGGCCAACGCCGGCCAGTGGGTCAGCGGCTTAGGGTTCGGGGGGTTCGAAGTATGAAGGGATCTTCACGAAAAAGACAGAGCGGCTAATTTCATGCCGTTGCGGAGGTGCATGCAGTCGGGTGTCGCACGCTTGGCTCGTCAGCGTTTTCATCAGGGTGTCTTTATCAGCATCACAGTCGCATGTTTGGTGCATCAGCCCGTATGTATCAGTACGTAACAGTGGCTTATGTATTATTCAACCGGACAAACAATCAGTGTGTATGCTGCTTGTATACAACTAGCAGTTGTACTGATTATGGCGTGCAGTCGTTTCGTATAGATACGTATTTAGACACGTATTTAGAGATCTCTAGATACGTATCTATACGTATCTAAATATGTATTTAGAGATCTCTAAAAAACACATTGCAGGTGCAGACTGGTCCATTTCGGCCACTCCTGCCAGCCCCAGCACAACACTTGCCAGAAAATGTGCCATTGCGCACTCCCGGCCCACTTGCAATGGGGGCCCAATTTGTCCCAGATTTTGTCGCCTGCGTAAATGCTGCGCCATGCACCGGCAGCGCAACCCCCAGTTTGCACTGGAAGCCAATTGGTTGGCACCTTGCAGCCCGCTGGGTTGCGAAATGGACGTGAGAGTCTGTGCCATCTCCATCATCATCATCACCATTATCATCATCGGATTCACAGAACAAGGCAATGAGGTAGCCGTCGGCTTCCTATTTTGCCCGAGCAAAGCAGTGTGTGTGATCAGTTCATTGAATCCAATGTTTAACATAAGCAAAGTCCGTGAATCTATTAACCCCTAACGCCAAGAAGCAATTGTCGACGATAGTGCATCAAAGCCAGTGTCCGCGCCGGTTGGCGAGCGGGGACGGATGGAGTCTGTGTCACGCTTCTCGGCGGTGTTGCCGTGCATCGGTCACCGCGCCCCTCGACACAACGCTCGAGACTCTACCATTCTTTTATGCAGCCTGCCATTGTAAGGCGCCCGCTCGACTCCCCGGTTACATTTTCCATCACTGAGTCATCGCGAGAAGAATGGGATACGAGGCACCGCCGCCAGCGCGATCACGTGTGCCGAGGCGCCCACAGTACGGCTGCCGGCGGCGACGCCGTGGGGCCGGCATCCCTGAAATGTTGGTTCACTTCCGGAGATCAAAATGCAGATGCCCGCGATCACGCCCGCGTGACCGAGATGCACTCACGGGATCGCGCCTCGTCGCCGTCCAGACGCCCGGGGGTGGTCCCCCTTGACGGTAACATAATCACTCCCTGCGGAGGTCCCAGTCCGTCCGAGGCTGAATGCCGCCTTTCATGCACTTTTGATTTGAAGAGGGAGCCATGTCATGCCTTATTCCGCCGGCGTCCCAGTCCGTCACACGCCGCAGGCCCACAAAGCTCGCGCTCCTCGTAATATTTGATGCGGTAGAGAGCTGCGTGTCAAATCTGACTCCATGCATGTCAAGGCGCTATCCCTCTGATGCCGCAGGCGGCGACGCCGTGGAGCGCTGCACGGGGCTCCATCATCGGACGTGAGCGACGCCTCAGCGCCGGGCTTATGCGAGACGAGGAAACCAAAAGGAGCCGCAGCCGTCCGACGTCGCAGGTGTGTCTGCCGATCTCCGGCCTCTCAACATGGCACTGTCACGATGTTCCCGAGGCGGCCTACACACACAGCCCCATGTGCGCATGTCCCCACGCGCGCCCATTGGCCCAGCGGCTCGTCACTCGCTTCAGCGGCCTGTCGGCCCGGCAATGCGCCGGGCCGGCGCCCCCCGGGCCAATCCCCTTCCCCCCCCCCCGCCCCCATTACTGTCCTCGGAATATGCGGTCGGTCGCAGGTCAGCCCCATCACGACATCCGCAATCCCCCCGGCCTAAACCCCCAGGGGATTCGACACCCACGCCGCTCTCGCGCTCAGTTGAAAGGTCCTGCGCACATCAGCCGCGGCAGCGCCTATTTGAAGCCCAGCTGCGCCACTTGACAATCTGTGCCTCGTCCCAGGCCGCCGCAGCAACGCTGCCGGCCACGCCCATGGCTTCCTCTCCCTACCCCTGGGTGCCCGCGGTGGAAGGCATGACTCCGGACGTGTGGATGACCGCTCCGCCGATGCGCGAGGGGTCGCCCAGCCCGGGATGCATCTACGGCTGGGCCGGCTGCCCCATACTCCTGGTAAGACCGCGGGTACGAAATCTGGATCGAAAACAGGGCGGAGGTGCGACATCGACGGAAAGTTTGATTGCGGAAAGGGGCTGAGAAGCGCAGCTTTGGACTTTGGGTTGCTGTGGGTGGGGGCGGGGGGTTGCCGAGACAAAGGGGGTGCTGCTGTTTCGGCGCCTTGGAGTTTTGGGTGCAGTGGTGCCCAGCACTGGGCGGGGTGGGGGTTGCATGTGATGAGAGTTGTGGGCGTCGTGCGGATGCGGGGGATGCATTCATGGGGAACTAGCAGATCGCGCGGCGCGAAGCCGCGACGGATTTTCGTCGCCGGCGAGGCCTCTGGAACTTTCCCTGGGTTGGGGCGTATCGACAGAACATGGGGCCAATCGCGGGCCGAGACGCGCGGCCCGTCTGGTGGCATCTGCCCTTTCTGGGGACCCTTGCGCGCTCGCGGGCGTTCAACAGTCTCCGGTTGCCGAAGCAAGAGGGTGTCTGGAACGGGGGAAAGGGGGGGAGAGGGGGGGGGGGAGAGTTGATGGGGCTAAACGCGCTGCGTTGGCGCCTGTCGGGAACGCCCGCGGTTGGTCATTGGGTCGGGGGTCGGTCGTCATCGTCGCGTTGGGACGTTCTGGAGGACGTCCGCGGGGTGGGAACTCCCCCATCGTGCGCTATCGGGCGCTTCGAGGGCTTGATCGCTCGCTTCAGCGCCCAGGCGAGGATCGCTGCGAAATTCTGCTTCGGAGCCGCTTCCGTTTCGTGCCGACTGCGACCGCGCCCAGCCCCTTTGGAGTCGAGCTGTTTGGAGTTGAACCGCCCAAGGGGCGTTTTGCAGTTCCACCGTGCCGCGCTGTGGGCGGCCGCATATGCCGGTGTGGCTCCACGTTGCGTTATCCCCAGGCCTGTTAGTCGTACTACCGGGCTGCGGGGTGGTCCGGGGGGTAAAATTGCGGCGTGGGAGGATCTGGGGCGTTGCTCGCTACGCGCGTTCAGGGGATGGCGCCACACTTGGGGGACGGGTGCTTGCAGGCATGCAACCCAGGCGTCTGCGCTGTGTCGGAGCAGCGCTGACGGGCCTTGATGCGGCCGGGTCAGCGCGAACTGGTGGCGGCGGAAGCTGGGGTCGTAAACTCGCATCAGGTTTGGGTAATCCTTGATGCGGGCGACGGCGGCGGGTGAAGGCCTGCTGGAGGGGGCGTTACTGCGGCGGTGTATGGCAGGTGTCCCGCGACTGGAGCCCGTCAGTTCCGGCGAAAAAAGCTGCCCAGGTTTGTAGACGCGGAACGCAGCCACAGGTGCTGCGCTTTTCAATGCATTGAAGTGGCCAACGAGGGCTGACCGTGTAGTGTCGGCCAATGACGCTGGCCATTGCGCGCGACTCACGTGCCCGAGGTTGAAAGTATCACGTGGTGAGCTGTGCCCGCGGGGATTGCCAAGGGGGTGCCGATGCAGGCGTGAAATTGTTCTCTTTGTCTTTTCCGTGAAGATCCCTCCCTGCTTCGCCACCCTGAGCCCTAAACCCACTGAACCATTGACGTGGGCCTTGTCAGCGGAAGAAGAAGGGGTGATCGCGGAAAAGACAGAGGGACCAGTATATTCTCGCCGATGCATCATTGCGGCAGCAGCTGTGGCATTACTAGGGGGTTGGGCCGCCGCCCTGTCGCACCCGAGGGCGCCCAGTCGCGTCGCCACGCCCTTGTGTGGTCAACCGCAGTGGCCGCGGGGCAAGGCACCGCATCGCGTTGGCGGCCCATCCAGTGCACTTGCCCGTGAGCGTAAGTTTCATGAGGCTTGCTTTGAAGTGCGCCTGCCTCCCTTAAGCTTGTAGACGTTGTCGTATGGTGTTGGAACTCCAGCCATGAAAGCAGTGACGCATTCCTTGCGCGCTATGCGTTATTTGGCGACTCCCACGCTGACACGCCATCGCTCCCAGCTGGCCATCTTTTCGCTGGCAAAAATCCCATGAGAAAACGCGATTATGAATATGCGATTTGATTCCACTTCAGCCCCCTCTCAACTATTGATCCACCTATGATGTCATCAGAACAATCTCATCATCTGCAATTTTGGGCGGAACTTGACGCAACGGTGAGTGTTGAAGTAGCTTTGATGCAACACCAAGCACTGACTCAGGAAGGTCAGAGCGGCGCCATTAACGCAAGGCCGGCGCACGCATCAACGTTTATCTGCATCGACACACGGGCATCTTCCAAACCGTTGCCGAGCACTGCATCCACGGCAATGCAGCCACAACATCGCACCAACGTCTGCTGTTTTCCCAGATGGTCATTACTGTGGCCTCAATCTCGCCTGTGTTCCTTAAGAATCATTCAGGGAGGAAGGTGGAATCAAGTACTGCAAAGTGCTGAGCCTCGTACATTCCTTGATGTTGTGGGGGTAGGATTTTTGCCAATCATTGTGAGGTCAGTGTAGACCGCTAGCAAGGGGGCGCTGTTTGAACATTTGAGCTCAGCAGAGACACGTGACATGACTGATGTGTCGGATTTTCACGTTGTCTGCAAGGATGTTCGCCCACTCACGAGCGTATAATATGTGAGAGGAAGAGTGAGATTTAGACCTAAATCTCTCGCCTGCCGCTGCTCAGGGGAGGAGGGCCAGCGACCCAATAGGCCAGCCCTCGGCCGAGGGCGCTGCCCCCATGGACCACACGTTCTGCTTGGGCGCCGACCTGGCCACGGAGCTTCGAGAGTGCTCCAGACCCACCCCGTCGAGAGACGACGGCACACCCTTTTGGTACCGCGCCGATCACATCCAGGACCATGATGTTCTTACGGCACTGCGCGCCAAGGCAAACGTGTTTTCGAAGATGGCGGGCGGGGCGCCGTCGCCGTCGGCAGCGGTTCAGGGGAGCCCCGGTGCTGATGACGACGGCTACGCCAGGATGATATCGTGCGCCCAGACGATCGTGTCAGAGAGCGCGGCCAGAGGTGGGGGACAGAGAGAGAAAAAAAAAACCATACACAATAGATGCAAAAAGCAAATGCAATAGAGAAACCACAAGGTAGATGAAGGAATAACAGGAAAAAACGAAAAGACGTATTTCTGCAAGTTCTTGAAATATCTGAAAGGATTGAAAAGGCTTGACTGAGGGTCGTGCTCCGGCCCCGCCATTTTCATCTGGAACTTTCTTCAACTTCATCTCAGTCTCGCAGACAATATAAACCAATACATAACATACAATGAATGCATGGTAAACGTTAGTGCGGTACGCAGCGCGGAAAGGTGAGTCGAATAGCGCCCCCTGGGCGGTCGCGTCGGACATCAGCACGAGAAGTGGAGCTGACTGCCGGCGAATCGGCGGCCATTTGGGGCGATTTGGTGCCGCATTGAAACCGCATTAGATTCGGGAAAGCCAGAACAAATGGTGGTAAATGGGCTCGTGCGGAAAATGCAATGAGCGCACAGCAAAATCGAGCGTTGCACACTGCGGGGAGGTTGGATCGACGTTCTCACGCACGGAAGATCGTGCCAGAGAGAGCGGCGAGAGGTGGGGGGGGGCCTTTGGGCAAAGGCCTCAAGTTAGCGCTGTTCCTGTGCGTGCAGATTTATGCCAGGTGCAAAGTTTTGCTATTTAATTCATTTCGTGACTTGTGTATTCATTCTATTTTGTTTCTTATGCGTGCAGTTCCCAGTCAGACGAGTGGCCTCCCGCCCGCCCGACCGGAGGACCCTTTTCAAGCCATCACCGGCGCCCAAATCGTCGGGCAAGATCCGGACAGCGGAAAATGGTGGGGCCCGGTCCTGTACATTAGGCGGAGCTACAGCGATCTCCAGCACTGAGCCCAATGCTTCGGAACATTCCTCATTGCTCAGCACAGCAGCCCAGCGCCTTGTCGATGCGAACTGTGGGAGGAGCCGCGCTCTGGGGATGTGTCTTAGAGATGTCGGATACTCTTGTGCAAGCTTGGTGTTTACTTTTACGGCTCCACTTGTGTGTTTCATTTCTACACGCACACATAAAAGGGTTAATTTTGCGATTAACTTTCTGGAATTTTGCCGCGCGTCGAGACACTAAGGTCGCGCGATGAAGTCGCGAAGACAATGGCCAGTCATTCGCCGCTCGAGCACCCGCAACAAAGCGTCTATCTGGCCCGTGGTAAGGGCAACGGCGTCGCTGAACAAAGTTCGTTTCTGTCCACTCCAGCGCGTCTTGTTGCCTGACCCTCAGTCTGCACTGCGTTCATGTACACAGTTCCTGTATTAACGTAGATATGCGCGTTTTTACACGTACACGTGTAAAAAATACTCTTACTCATAGTGCGTAAATACGCTCTGCGTTCGCGCCACAAAAACCAACTTTGAGTACAAGGAATTTCTCCTTCTCAATGCGCGTATTTAAGCTACATATTTGCAATTCATGTGCATACTTTTTGGCCAAGTTTTAAGTCCTGTATGAATTGCAGGACGCTGGAGCTGCATGTGACCACGGTGGTGTCGGGCTTCATCATAGGTGAGATGCACGGCGCACCCCCGACGTTGTGTACTGACCAAACTGCGCATATTTTTTTGTTGCTAATGTACTGTATCACTGATGCATTTTAAAGTACGCATGGCAACTAACAAATTGCCGCAGATGCCCAAATTTGGGTTTGTGGTATTGCAGCACCCAGCCAAAGTTGGCTCAGGCTCCTACGATTATGGGTCATCGGGGAGATCCATGACCAATCCGATCCTTGATGCAATGAATGCTAGCACCGGCTATGTGAAATGTTGCAACAAATATGTGCAAGATGGTGGGAGATCCGGGTGTGCGTGGATTGCGCCCTTTGAACCTGAAACCAAGCGGCAGCATCGACAAGTTTGCTGCCGTCTTTCAGCGAGTTGGTGCGGCTTGCAGCGCCAGGTCTTTAGCACCGCAGGCTTTCAATCTGGAAAGTATGACATGCGGAGAATTACCAATACACTAATGGAAGTACTGATGGAAGAAAAAAATATCGTCGGAAAAAAGTTGCATATCCTAGGATATGGAAACGCCCATATCCTCACCCATATCCAGGATATCGAATATGATATGGGAGGATACGCATATCCTGGATATGGGCGGCCCATATCCCAGGATATGGGCGCCCATATCCTGGGATATGGTGAGGATATGGCCAAGGATATGGCAAGGATATGGGAAGGATATGGACGAGGATATGTCCATATCCTGGATATGTGGAGCTCATATCCTGGGATATGGCAGGGATACGGCATGGATATGCTGGCTGTCTGGGCGCACAAAGTCGCCAACGAGAGGCACACGCAATCTATGAAACGAATTGTTTTACAGATTTTACAGCAACTACAAATCAATTTTGCGTCCATATCTCTAGCCAAGAAACTACCCATCAAATCATCCACCTCTCAGTTCCTTAAGCAACTACCTATCATGAATGCAGTGACAATACAACTCCAATTAACCATTCCTTTGCACCGATGCCTGCCAGACTGCCACCCCGATTGAGCCTAGGCACCGTCATGCAACACTCCAACAGCAGCCCATGAGTGGTCACCACCTTTGTCGACATCACCATGTCATCCTTGCCATCACCGCCTCTCCACCTGCCACACACACTTGCAGTGTCAGCACACACCAGCACCCTGCCCTGACACATAACAAACTGTGCAACATTGCCATGAATACCATCTTACCATGCCGTTTGCTGAGTACTGCCAAACACTCTGATATCACCCAAGATCCACCAAACTGCCATGTACGCAATGGCTTCCAGCAACAGACGACCATACTGCTGCACCACAGGAATGCAAACTGGATGGTAGTCACTCTGCTGCAGGAAGTCGTACAGGCTGGCTCCAAGCCCTTCCAATAGTTGCAGGCCAGAATGGAGGAAACCTTTTCGATCATTTCCCTCCATGAACTGACAAGCTTGCCCATATGGACATGTGCAGACTGGAAGCAAGTGTCACAAGTCTTTGTGGCATGAATACAAGTGCTGGGAAAAACCTTTTGCAACGTCAGACAATGGCACATGGCTACAGCACAATGACTTTGAACAATGCCACCAGCAATACAGCGAACATCCCCAGCGAACATCCCCACATAATTTGACTTCTAAACCATGCTCAAACCTCCACATTCCAGCAGGAAATGTAAACAACAGTGAAAACCTTGCTGGAAACTGGATGCATCAAGCCTCCTACGCAGCAGTAGGACACTCACCATGCACACATGTCCTCGGTAATCAAACCAGGACCCTACAATGGAACTCGCCTTAATCAGAAGTGGCGGGGATCCACAGCCGAGGCGAGCAGCTGCAGTCCGTTGCCCCCGTCGGCGGTGAGCTGGTAATCAACCGCCTGCCTCCTCCGATCCTCGCAAGCACCTTGCCTGCGTCCAAACGGCAAAGGCACGACTCATAAACCCATGCCCAGAACCGCAGGGGCAGCACTTCCCAGGCACACAAACCACCAGTTTTCGCACTTACATCGTGAGGACAGGTTGTCGCCGAGCTCGCAGACGTAGTACCCTTCCTGCACAGTCACGGGCGACCACACGCGGCGACCGTCAGCCACAGGCGGCAGGGATGCCTCGATTGGGTGGTGCGGCGAGGGAAGGCCGGAGCGCACCTCATTCGGCGGGCTGCACGGCGGTGAGGGCCTGTCCGGAAACACGAACGCCTAGTGGTCGGTCGTGAGCAGCTGCCCCGGCCGGGCGATCTCCCTGCTCGTCCTCAGCAGCCGCTGATCATCCACATTCTGCCACCCGCGAAGCGAGAAGTGAGAACACTCGGCACCGCGACGCAGCGATGCGGATGCGGACGGCGGGCCAGGCGGGCGGCGGGAAGGGCGGGGGGCGGGACCTCGTCGTTGGATTGCCCAGTGCGCTGCTTCTTGTTGGCCAGCTAGGCGGGGAGGGAGCCGTGCGACTCGGACGTGGGCCGTTGGCCGCGCGTGCCTTCTTGGAGCGCGGGGTCTCATAGGCACACACAGGCGAGAAGCATCGCGTCCACTACAAATGCCTAGCGACCTGCCCAATGGCCGCGCACGCCTCCCACCCCACGCCACCCTCCCACCATTCCGCCGCGCACCTTCAAGCGCATCCCACCACCAGGCCTCCAACCCGCGCCATGACATCGCCGCCGTTATGCGCCGTGTCTCGCCTGGCCGATGGCTGCCGTTGCTCCACGCCGCGCGAACTTGGTGGCACAGCACGGGGTTGCCAGGTTTGGCGGGAATGACAGAAACCAGAATGATCAAACTAACCGACGTTATGTATGGGCGCAGCACTGCCGTAATCATTATGTAATTATGTTGTAATGATCATTTTATGATTTTGCGTACACAAAGTACACAGACTGACAGTTATTGACCGATTGAAACAGTAATTCGAACTGGTAACGGGCGCCCGCGCCGGCGCTGTAGACCAGTCAAAGTTGCACGTCAAATACGGCCTTCGCACCTGGGAAGGCCTGGCTTTGGCGTTGGCGTTGCAGAGGCGATCGCTGGCATTGCGTCCGTCCCCATCACGCTGCCATTTCCTATGGCCCGTATCCCTGGATATGGGCGCCCATATCGCAGGATATGGTGAGGATAAGGGCGAGGATATGGCCATATCCAGGATATGGCAGCCCATATCCTGGGATATGGGCGCCCATATCGCGGGATATGGTGAGGATAAGGGCGAGGATATGGCCATATCCAGGATATGGAGGGATATGGCCATATCCTGGATATGCATATCCTGGATATGGGCACCATATCCCAGGATAAGGAGGCCATATCCTGGATATGTATATCCAGGATATGCAACTTTTTTCCGACGATATAAAGGCATCATAATTGAAAGGCCATGTTTTAGCGCCTCAAACAGGCAAGTTTGTGATGACCATGGACGCGAACAATGGAGCATTTGCTGTGCTTATATTATGGCCTTTTCCTATTCACTTACTGTGATATTGCTTGGACTAGGAAATGTGTCAATCAGCCACATTACCCGCAATGATTGACAGAAGCAGAAATGCAAATGTATTTCTTATGGCCATATTGCAGTGTCACAGGAATTTTGAACAGCACCAGTTCTTTTGTTCCCTTCCGACTTGGACCTCGTAGCGGTTCTGCTGTCCCCCTTTATTCTGCTGTTGAGATTCAGCGGTTGAATTCCAATCAAATGGTCAGTGAGTCAACAAACCCAACAATAAGTTGAATGTTCAAAACGCAAAGTAGATGAAAGACAGCAAAAGATCTAAGTGAGCGGGATTGGATTCTTGAAGTTACCAGGAGATGTTGGATCCCTTATCCCCCATCCATATTTCGTATTTTTTGATTTATTGACAGAGTAAAGGGCTGTTGGTTTCTTGATTAATGTTCTGATTAGTTGATCGATTGAAGCAACCTGGCTTGAAAGTACCCGCCATCCCGACGATGAGTAACACATGTTTCATATGTACTGCATCTCATGGAGATTCTCCTCACCCAGATGTCACGTGGTCAAAATTCATCACTGCCATATTTCTTGTTCCTTACATTATCTTCTTCGTTGTTGCAGGCCCGGGTGGCTTTTCAATACGCAGGATCATGAAAAAGACGCACGCCAAAATATCTTCTTACACGGAGCCAAAGTCCTTGGCGCAAGACAAAGACAGCATCCGCGTGTTCATCATCAGGGTGAGTCCCAATCTGTCACTCATCCAGTCAATTAGCCATCTGGCCGATCGTTCACCACAGTATAGATTGGAAAATTCTTGTTTAGTCCCTCAGCCGTTCAGCGCTTTTCATGTGGCCATCTTCAACATCAGAAAGTGACTCAATGACCTGCAAGCCTGCAGCCACAGCGCGGGTAAAAAATCGGCCAAAACACGCGGTATGGAACCGCGTCAAAACGTGCAAAGTTCACGTACACTCACTCAACCGTTACTATACGTTCTGGTCTGTTTTATACGATAAACCCGCAATAGGTTAACTATTTAAGAGGGTATTTTACTCGATTTCCAATAGTGTTACCTGGTTCATGATTGCCAAAACCGTGTATTTTCGCCTGCTTTTTGTTAGCCCAATAGGCGTTTCTGCAGATAACCATGAGCTCAAAATATAAACTTTTTTGGACGCGATGTTTGGCAATGACCTAAATCTCCTGGAAACTGCGATGATATGGGTGCAGCTTTTTGCAACGGAAGTCATGATAAGAACCAGTATTCATTGTGCAGGGCACATCGGAGGAGATCACCCAGACGATGAAGATCTTTTTGGCGGCGGTCTCTTTATACAAGGAGCTCGCTGAGGGTAACAGCACAGGTGGCCATGCTTTTTTCTTAATGTCATCTAGGGATTTTGAAGACGAGCTTACAATTTTGAGCATATTTGATCACTTGATGTGGATTGCTTGGAATACAACCCAAGAAATTCCTGTATGCTGTGCAATGAGGATGACATGAACTGACACGCTCAAAACTTGAGAATGCCAATAGGAGTATCAGATTTATGCATTCGCGTGAATTAAAATGATAATTGGAACACACTGAAATCACAACAAAACAGGTGATGGCTTTCAGGGGATCAGTAATTCTTCCGAAAGCCATCAACTTCTGACGACAATTCAGCCTAAGTTTGATCATTGACATTTATTCGCTGGCCGCACTCATTGCTTTGCTGGTATCGGTATGCTCCGCCGGTAATCGTGTTCTGATGCTGACACCTCAATCACAATCTTGACCGCTTGGTCGATCACTTTGACGTCA